TCTGCGTTTTCCTTCTCTCTATCATGATGTGTATGACCTAAAGCTTGGGTGACCTGATGGAGAATCTGATGAACATCTGTTTTTCCATACATTCTGACATAGTCCTACTATTATGTCTTCTGTACATCTGACTTTAATTAGTTTTCCATGTTAAAACAGTGCCCTCAGGCATACATGCGTGTGCAATCGCTTTCTTTAGAAGCAACAAGTGAGAATTATTCTACAGAAGTAGAATTTTTATTATTATTCAGAAATTTTATATGTTTTCAGTAGGTTGATGTGTAAAATGTGCACACAAGTATCAGTGGAAATTGTAATATAGGCTGTGTGTTTAATTTACACACTAAACTACTTAGTTTCCGTTTTGCCCAAATAGCTTCATTCACAACAGGTACATGCTAACGGGTCTTCTGATAACAGCTATTTCATTGCAAAGGCAGCACGCATTTCCTTTCAGTGAAGCCAACATTTCAGCCAATTAACATAAGCACAAATCAGAAATACATTGGTAAATTGATGCACTGTTTAGAAAATTAATATTAAAATACTGTATGTTATTAAAAGATGCCAAGTACAGAGCTATCGCTTCCTTGCTTTAGCTTATTTATATGCCTTCATGTAGATACACACAGAAACATTCTTGAACTATAAATGTGCTTTTAAAATTGAGAAAAGAAGCATGAACCAAGTATCTCCATCTGTTAACCCGCTTTTACAATTACAAAGAATACTCTGGAATGTTCCCTGGTTTCAGAAATTACTTTGCTTTATAGCATCCTGATGCTGATACGTGTATTTTGCACACCTAAATCTCTGTTCTGTAGCACATGGAGGTTCATGTGAAAATGCCAACACGTACACACCCACCACATGAGATCTGGAAAGGAAGGGATGCAATGTAGCAGGGTTCTGAGGTGCACACCTTTAAGTAGCCTAAAAATCAAATTTAGTGGGGGTTTTTATATTTATGCTTTAAGCGTATACTTACATTTGAGTCACATTTTTAAATCCATGGTGAATTTGGGATGTTTATTATTTCTAGAATGTCTAAACATTAGAAACCGGTGAATACATTCAATTGCACCTTCTAAATCAATGGATAAATAAAGAAATAAATTACAGGTTTAATGAGCCAGAAGGACTGAAGACAGCCCTGCTTCTTGACAGCATATGGATTCTAATATTATGTATGAAGGAAGAAATGATTCCTTAGAATTTTTGAGAGATACTACTTGGGTTTTCTTAAATTTACATTTATTATTTAGCAAAGGATGTCAGTTACCTTTCATGTCACTTCATAGTACATATTTAAAAATATAATCAGACAGAGACGTATGGGGAGACATCACAGGAAGTGAGCTTGCAACCAGGCTTTGTACAATGCTGACAAGTCTTTCACTGCCATTGTGCATGCAGAAACCAACCAACAACCAAACACATCTCATTTTCTGATAGATAGGAAAAGCATTTATAGAATGCCTAAGGGGATATTAAGGTGCCCTGTATTTAAGATGTAATTAAGAAATTTCAAAAGTTTGAAGAAGAAAATGAAAATTCCTATTTTCTTTCCCCTTTTTGATTCACCTGTTTAAAATCCATTCAAGCCAAGCACAAGAATTGTACGACAAAGATTCAGCCACAGCACAGAAAGTTATGACACTGCTTTGCACTGCTCAGGAGGAGCTTATGGACTTTTCCAGAATACTGCTTTTCTTCATGAAGAAGTCCAGAGGACCATTTTAAACTGATGTGTGAGCAGAATATATTTGTATTTGCAAACACAATTATAAATACTACCAAGCAACCAGGACTAGATGGCATTTGTGCAAGACTTCTAAAGGAACTCAAAGGAGCACTTAGTACATCCTTTTTTTTTTCCCTTGTTCTCATTCTGTTTCCACAACTGACAAACTACAGGATGGATAGATGCAATATAACTGCTGATATGTACTTAAGAGGAGGGAATCTTTTCTTTTGTATGATGAGTTCCAGCAAAGCAGTACATGGAGTTGCTGGAAGGATATTAAATGGTCCAATGAGCCAGTCAGAATGCGGTTATATTTTTTCAAATCCTTAACGTCATCAGCAAAAGAAACGGAGACACTTAAGAGTTCAAATGGGCAGAAATATGTCACCTAGATCAACCTAATAATGTATATAAAAGTGCACCAGGAGAAGTGGATAAGGGAAAAAGACAGAGTTAACTAATACTGGACCCCTAATGGATACTTTCAAACTCTGTTATGTCCAAGAGTCTGTGTTATGGTCTTCAGGGTCCATATTTTAGCATCCATCTCCAGGATTTCTCTGCAGTACAATATTAAATGTTCTTGCTTAACAATAATAATATTGTTATTATAGCAAATCCTCTGGCCACTGCCCTCTCACACAGATCTTCAAGGACAGGGTGAGTTATTCCACTGCTCCTTCCAAGGCTCTCCTGGGGGACAGATGCCTGGGTTTCTTGTGGACCCAGGCAGTCTCTTTTCCATGCTACATCCACGTTCCCCATGGAGGCATCAGCATTGCCAGTATACGCCCAGGCTCTCCATAGGCAGGGCATGGTGCTGGGAGGAAAAAAGCTGGGCAGCACCCATGCTGTGCAGCAGCAGCCCGCACACGAGGTAGCACCTCTGTCATATCTCTGTCTTTGGCCAGCAATTTTGTCCAAAAATTGTCTCACTTCCAAGGGGCAGAGATTAAGTGACATCTGTGCCAAACACAGCTGACATCACCGTATGCCATGTGGAAGAAGCACGTTTGGGGTTTGGCACTACTCACAAGCTAAATATGTTAACTGATGTGTCTTCCAAACAAGACCTGAGAGGGTTTTTTTTTATGGTGTTTGAGGTTTTCTTATCAGTAAAATACCCTGGTAATATGTGCTGCAGGCACCCATGAAAACTAGGGAAGGCTTCAATTGGATATTAAGAAGAATTTTTTCACTGAGAGAGTGGTTAGGCACTGGAATGGGCTGCCCAGGGAGGTGGTGGAGTCACCATCCCTGGAGGTGTTCAAAAAATGAGTAGATGTAGCACTTGAGGCTATGGTCCAGTGGTTAGGGAAATGTTGGGGTGAAGGTTGGACTCCATGATCCTAGGGGACCTTTCCAACCATGATGATTCTATGATGTGCTTGAAATGAAGCTCTATGCTGTGATGGTCCTGCTAGTGAAAGGGCTGAGGTGTTTACATGGCTCTGGATCCAGGGAAGTGAATCCAAAACCTGGTGTGTACGCTGTATAGGTAGAGAAAATAATTTTCAAATATGGAAGGCAGCTGCTGAAGGAGGGTATTCACTGTTAGCAATGAAAAACAGATTAGGAAGGCATTATTTACACTTGATAAATCAGAAATGGCATCAAAGAGAGCTAGTATTACAAACTATTAATGAAAGACATAATAATGAAACAAATCACATAATAGATCACAACAAAGTGATTCAGTGTAATGAATACTGATAATGAGTAAGTGAACTGTGCACTCTGGGGCTACAATTTCAAATCCATTCTAGTGTGAATGCTAGCAGGGTAAGAAAAAAGGGCACTTTTAGAAAAAATTTACCCTGTTCCATTGCTCACTCTGATTACATCCACACCTTACATTAGCTCTCTCCTTTTGATGATATAAGGTAGATAGAAATGAAGTTACCTGCTAAGACCCACTATATGTGCTCATTAGGTATTTGTGTCAAAGTAACAACAGAAATCTCATCAGCCATGCAGGCCAACTTTCCTCATTTCACAGAAGAATGTGGGTAAATAAATATTAAACATATTAAAAATACAGACAGAGAGACAATGTTTTTTTCCAGTACAGATTAGAAACTCATTTAGTTCTTGTAATTACAGAAAACACACTTCTGCTACAGAACATGGTAGGGCCTTGAGGGTGAAACAGGTCTAAAAATTCAGATCTTCATAGAGATTTTAAATTTTGGAGGTATTAAGGTTGGAGCCTTTGATTAAACAGAGGGATGCCCTATGTAGCTTCTATACAATATTTGTATTCTGATCACACACATGAAACTTCAGAGGGTGTGCAAGTCATGATTACATTTCAGACTTATCTGTATCTTAAACCCTTACTGAATCAATTCTTGCAATGTCAAAGCCTACCAAACCAAAGATTTATTTGTGCATTTATAGCTAAATATGCATCTGTTTATTGTTCATTTTCAAAAGAAATATTGGTTTGGGGTTTTTTTTGTTTGTTTTTTTTTTGTTTGTTTGTTTTTTTAAGGAAAGGCACTCACTCACACATAGAGCATTGGAAAGTCAGTTAGATGGCTAAGAATGGGCCCTGCAAAAATCATCAAGCTGAGCAGGGAGCTGCCTGAGCCTGCCACTAAGCTATTGCAGTGTTACAGATAACAGCTTCTGTGAAGAGACCCTTTGGATCTAAAGGTTCTCAGCTGAGGTTCTGGCTCAGCTACAAGATTTTACAATCAAATGTCAGTGGGAGGCTTACTGACACAGGGTGAACTCCTGAATAACAAATTCTTTATTACTCTTTATTAAGGTCTTATAGGAAAAGCAAGCAATATATGGTAAGGCTGAAGAGTTGTGCAGTTTCTTTGGAAAATGATTTTGAGAAAATCTAAATTTTAATAAACGTTGAAATTAGAGCTGATTTATCAAATAAATAAATATTGACAGATTTCACCAAAGAGCTAAATTTAACTTATCCACGAATTATTACTTTAACAAAAATGTCTGAGTATGTTACCACGTATGTCTACCATCATGAATGCTCAAATCAAGTCCACAGAGCCATGTTACAGGTTTAAATTTCTGCTTTCAAAATTTCGGTCATACAAAGTTTTTCAGCATCTCTAATAGGATTGGAATGCAGCGTTCACGTTAGATATGTTTAATTACTGTGATGTTTTTAATGTGTTGTTTTGACATTCCTTCATGATAATTACAATACCTTCAGAATTGTAAAATACAAGTAAATCAAATCTGCATGAATTTGGGGAAGCAACACACGCAGAAAGCATCAGAAATCAAGCAGCTGTGGATAAAGTTGCACTACGGTGCGACCATCGCTTTCATCCTCAGCAAGCCACCTTAAGGGAGAAAGACAAAAACCTGTCAGAGGTTTATCACGTAGAACACTTAAAAGACAAATCATGAGAGCCTGCTTCTGCACCTTTGTGTTTCTAGGAGAATTTTTACATTGGTTTATACAGAAGCAATAACCGACCTGAAGAAAATGATGATTTATTTTTGGTTTAGTATCCATATTTGTGTAATTTGAAAGTGTAATTAACCTTGTAAATATGAAATGTTAATTCATTTTATTTGTTGGCTATATATGTGATGAATAGACTGTTTCATTGAGTGGCATAAAATCAGGATGATTTAGAGTAAGGAAACTTGTTCTGTGATAGCAGGTATGTCCATGTGTTTCATTCCAGGGACTATTTATTTCTCATCTCTCTGCTGATTCACAAAATACTGAGTTGCAAGGTGGGCCCAACCCCTGCTCTGCGAGAGCCTATGGAGGTTTTACTATTGACTGTATGGGAAACAGGTCTGAGTTCAAAGCTGAGGTAGACTGATGTTAACTGGAAACATGGAGGCAACGATATTAATTTCCAAAGATAGTTTAAAAGTTTCTAACACTTTTGCAAGTCTTACGACAGACTATCTGCTGTGATGTCTATGAAGAAGCTAGTGTGGCAGGCATTTCCAGCAGGTATAGCATTAATGTAGCTCACATCTGATGTTGCATCATTGAACAGCTGAGAGATATGGGTGAAGATAAAGAGTTCCAGGCTGAAACACAACTAATCTTGGCAGATAAAATTGCTCATGGAAGTCCCAGAGCCAAGGGAAGGTGTGACATGTAAGCTAGAGAATTCGCATTTAAGTTAGTAAAGGATGCCCACCTCCTTTCAGGTTTCTCAGTGATGAATATCTTTTAGAGACAGCATTTGTATCATGTGAGTCTTTTCTTTCTGAGAGAATGAGGCCATTCCACATTTACACAGTAGGCTATGAGATGAAAAGGGAACAGGGATGTGAACTTACAGTTTTCTATATTCCGGCAACATCCCATAGCCTCTGGCTTACTGAGTACTCTGGGTGGGCCTCCTGATCTCTCCTACTGAAATTCTTCCATTTTAAGTAGGTATACATTAAAGTAAGGACATGACTCTAACTCACACAAGTCCCAGTGAAGTGTCCTAGTCAGTCAGTAGAATCAATCTGTCTCAGTCACTCCACTACACCAATAATGTGATTCATGTTCTTGCTCCAAATGGGTCTCTTACATATATTTGTGTTTTTACAATAAGTTTTTAAGTAAAACAACAACAACAACAAAAATATCTGGAAAAACTGTTTGTTCCAAGCTTTATTTTTCAAGAAGCTTCCTCTGACTGGTGTGGTCTGAGAACTCTTACAAGCAAAGGAGGTGGTATGACATCAGCTGAAAACCCCATCATGGATTGTGTTTCACACCTGAGTGGTATCTTGGTCTAAGGGCTTTGGTCATACCCCCTTAGCTAAATTTAAGTATCTAGAAGGTTAAATAGTACCTGAGCATGCATTTGGAAGAAATTTAATGAAGGGAAGTGTAATGTTGTTGAAGTTTGTAACAGCTACACATGCTCATGATTTAGATCACAGAGTCCAACTGACTATCCAAGAACTATGTTTTGGGTACAGGGTTGGGAACTGGCTTCCAAGAACCACCAAATGTACAGAAAAATGTAGTGGAAGGATAAAATTAACTATTCTTGGCTACCATTTCCGCTTTCAGACCACCAGGTAGCATCCCTCTTTCTTGTAGGGAATATGTATAATTGGGAACTTGTAAATTCTCTTTTCTCCAGATACATTAAAAAACTATTTTACACCTAGAAATACAGGAGTGTATTTGCTTCTGTTGTTTGTTCTGTAATTCTTTAACCTGTAAACTATATACTGTAGTGAACAGTTACTCTAAATATACTTCTCAATTTCCTTTCCAACTTCTGACAGTTTGCCATTTCCATTTCATACAGACTGAAGTGGATCTTGTTTTTGTACTTTAGAAGCCCCTTACCCCAGCACCCCTTTATCCAAATAAATGCCTAAGTTCAGATCATCACCCTCTCACATTACATTATAAAAAGTTTACTTTTATCTTCACCCTATTTGCTGAATATATCTTAAACCCATACTAACATAAACCCTACTACTCTTTCC